CTGATTCCAAGAGAGCGTTCTGGTCGCAATGTACATTCCAACAGAGCAAAGCACAGTCCCAGCTGCCTGCAAAGCTCTTTAATTAGATAGCTTCTCTTTTCTCCCATCCATCAATCTGATCACGCGAGTTCATTTTACCATCATCAATCCCTTAAACTTTTCTTCAATTACCAGGGTCCTCTGGAGACGTCTGTTTATAGGGAAGCTCAATTCTTGCTCTTACAATTAAATTGCTAAATCGTTCTTGAAAACTCTTTGCCGACCTAATCTTTTATATAGCTGAATCAAAAAAAAAAGAAGAAGTGGATTTAGATGTAAATCAACTCCAGAGAAGGAAAACACTCGATAATTTGTTTCACTTTCCACCCAATAACTATTTTTCCAGGGCCAACAACATATGGTTGACTCTGGCATTCACATTTGGACATTTGTGTAGGACCGGCTCTACTGTTAGGCAAAGTGAGATGTGTTTGACACCAGCATTCAAACTTTGTCATTTACATAGAGCCGACTCTACCATTAGGCCAAGTGAGACACCAACATTCAAACTTGGATATTTGTGTAGGGCCAGCTCTACCGTTAGGCAGAGATGTCTTTGTCCACATGACAATGACAGTCCTTTGGCTGAAACGAGCCTCCCCCCCCCCCAATCAAATGCAGTGGAATACCTCACAAGCTTGCACATTCTTAACTACAAGTGTTTAGGAAAATGTCAGCTAATCAGTGGATGTTTTACTATGCCTATGGGAACTGTTCAAACTATCTGATATGGAATTTTAGCTACATGGAACCTCCAGGTTCAGAAGCAGTATATGTGTTAATATTCTCTTCTATTCTATGACAAACAAGGAAGAGGGCTGTTTCCTTTCCATCCTGCTTGTTGGCTTGCCAGAGTCATCCGCTTGTCCATTTCAGGAACCAAAACATCAAACCTATAATGTCTGAATTAGCAAGACTGTCGTTACGTGGTTTTGTAGGAGATGCCTTCTGGGTCTGGTCTGCAGGGGACCACAGAGATGTTGAAAACAATTCTGCACTCTCCCTTTGCTCATTGCCATTTCCTGTTCTCCCATAGCCGGACGAGTTGACAAATGCCCTGGAGATCAGCAACATCGTCTTCACTAGCATGTTTGCCCTGGAGATGCTCCTGAAACTACTTGCCTTTGGCATCTGGGGATACATCAAGAACCCGTACAACATTTTTGACGGCATCATTGTTGTGATCAGGTAAGCCGGTCTGTTTAACTGCATCTTCAGAGGCACAGGGGGCGAGACTGTGTACACAATCTGGGGCTGGAGACAGTCAAAATGCTCTTTCCAATTGGAAGATGTTGACAGAACTTGTATTTCCTTGCTTGCAATCAACGATGGGTTTACTTTTATCCCTCCTCCCTCCCAGTCCCTTTTTCCTTTTGCGCTGTCGCTTTTAGACCACAAGCCTGGGTGCAGGGGTCATTGGGAACCTGCTCTGGGAACCTTTTCCCAGCTGTGGAGAAGGATAAAAAATGACTCAGAAATGAGTCAGATTGGGAACGAAATCTTTCTTGAACATGGGTAGGCAAACTAAGGCCCAGGGGCCAGATCCGGCCCAATCGCCTTCTAAATCTGGCCTGCAAACGGTCTGGGAATCAGTGTGTTTTTACCTGAGTAGAATGTGTCCTTTTATTTAAAATGCATCTCTCTGTTATTTGTGGGGCATAGGAATTCGTTCATATTTTTTCTTCAAAATATAGTCCGGCCCCCCACAAGGTCTGAGGGAAAAAGTTTGCTGACCCCTGACCTAGGCCTTCATCTGATTGGCATCCAATGCCTTTTTAAATGTGTTGCTGGAGGGCAGGATTATTGGTTTGTTCTTAATCTTATTATGTATTTTGCGGTTTTTATATTGTCATTTTATGCTGCGGAGTGCCCTGAGATCTATGGATGAAGGGGGGCATACAAATTTAATTAATAATAATAATAATAATAATAATAATAATAATAATACCACCCACCATGGGACGCGGGTGGCGCTGTGGGTTAAACCACAGAGCCTAGGACTTGCCGATCAGAAGGTGGGCAGTTCAAATCCCCGCAATGGGGTGAGCTCCTGTTGCTCGGTCCCTGCTCCTGCCAACTAGCAGTTCAAAAGCATGTCAACATGCAAGTAGATAAATAGGTACCACTCGGGCGGGAAGGTAAACGGCGTTTCCGTGCGCTGCTCTGGTTCGCCAGAAGTGGCTTAGTCATGCTGGCCACATGACCCGGAAGCTGTACACCGACTCCCTCGGCCAATAAAGCGAGATGAGCACCGCAACCCCAGAGTCAGCCACGACTGGACCTAATGGTCAGGGGTCCCTTTACCTTTACCTTACCACCCACCACCCAAGGCAGCCGGCCTTTCTACTCTCAGTTATTATGGCCCTAGCCATTCATGCAAGTTCAGACAGCCTCTTGTTTCACCCCGCAGTGTCTGGGAGATCATTGGCCAATCGGACGGAGGCCTCTCGGTGCTGAGAACCTTCCGGCTTCTCCGGGTCCTCAAGCTGGTACGTTTCATGCCCGCTCTCCGACGCCAGCTGGTGGTCCTGATGAAGACCATGGACAACGTGGCCACCTTCTGCATGCTCCTCATGCTCTTCATCTTCATCTTCAGGTATGTGCCAGCATGCGTGCGCAACCCCTTCCTCTCCGGTTAATTGCTATGTTTTGTTTTTTCCATTCATCTCCGCCGCCGCCTAGATTAGAATGACAATGGTGCCCCTTTGCCGAGCGGTGCGTGGATGACAGCTCAACTCACAGTAGACTGACAGGCTGGATGCTCTGCAGATGGATTCCCCTCTCCTCAGTCTCGCTGTTCCACCAGATCCTGCCACCCCAGAGACAAATGAAGGACGCAAAGTGACAACAAGAGCGAAACAATTGCTCCGTTGTTCTTGATCGATGGCAAACATCATTGAGGCAGCTGAACTGAAACCCAGGATTTCGTCTCTAGAAACAGAACGGGGAGGGGGGTGAGAATGGTCCTTCCCCCCCCCCCCGCCTCAAATTGGCTAGAAACTCTCGATTTGCATTTGTTATGCAAAGCGCGGTAGCTATTTATTTGACATTTCCCTCCATCAAACGTCAACTTCGTTTGCAAAATTCCTGGAGGGGTGCGCTGCAAAACTTGGAATGTTTCCAGGTAAAATCTAGCAGTCGCTTTGTGCATTTCAGGGAAGCACGGAACAATTATTTACCCAAAGGCAGAGGAATAGGGGGGAAAGCAAGGAAGAGGCAACATGGGATTTGTAGTCCATCAGTCCTGCAATGCGCCTTGCTGGTGGAAGTTGGTGTGAAACAGCATTTTCCAACCTCTGGGTCGTACGTGACCTGCAAGCGGGTCTGGAAGCCCATACAAGTGAGTCGTGGGCTGTTTCGTTTTTGCCTTGGATGCGTCAAATCTCACTTATAAAACAGCCAAAACTATAGTTACAATGCACGAAACCAATGGCTGCTGTGGGATGCTGGTGTGGTTGCTCGAGAGCAAGCAGGCAAGACTCCAACCTGTCTTTTCCAGGCTTTATTATTAATACAAACTATTTACAATGCAGAACGTCGCAAGTCCATGTCTGCTCAGTCACTAGCAGAATCTGGGAGTGACCGGTCCTTGTACCTCCCCCAGCATAACAGTCATGTGACCCCCATCCTTCTCCTCCCCTCTCTGCACCCAGACCTCCTGCGCAGACTGGGCACTGGCAAAGGGGTACTTCCCTCCTCTCCGGTTTGCTCAGCTTCAGTGTTGAGGCTCTCCCTGGCATCTCCTGGTCCCTGCACTGGAGGCGGGGCTTTCCTCCTCGCCAGAGGAGGAACTGCTTCGCAAGATCTCCGGAGCTCCCTGCAACACAACTGCCCTTCCACCTCTCCCCTCTGAGCTGATGGCAGTTCCCTGATAGCTGAGGTCCAAACTTTGTGTGTCATTGAACCAATTGGTCACCATGCTATGTAAATTTGGAGTTGTGGGTTCCCATATGGAAAAGGTTGGGAACTGTAATGGTTCTAGGGGTTGCTCATGCGTAAGCTTGTCCCAACCTCTGGCTGGGTTGCCTGAGTGAACCTTTCCTGTCCGGGCAGCCACTCACCCGTGACTGTCTCAATCGCTGGCAGAATCCGTCAGTGGGCGTTTCTTAAACTTCTTCCAACAAAGAAGCTCTTTGACGCCTAGTCTCCTCCTACTCTCCCTGCGCGGAAGCCTTCTGCGCAAGGAGGGCGTGGGCAGCGGAAGACCCTTCCTCTCCTTGCTGGTCCCCGGCAAGGAGTCATGGGACCGCCTCACCGATTCCCCCATCTGCCCCCCTTCTCCACTGGAGCTACGTTGATTCTCTTCCCCAGAAGACGGGCTGCCTCTCCCACTCCCAGGACGCTCTCTGGCATCCCTTTGGAGCTTGCTCTCTCCCTCGGACACTGATGGCAGTTCCCTGACAGGAACCATTGGTGTAAAGCATCCTTGAACGTTTCATTTTATTTACAAGTTCCTTCCTCTCTCCTTCTCTCTTCCTAGCATTCTTGGCATGCATCTTTTCGGATGCAAGTTTGGCTTGAAAACAGACACAGGGGACACGATGCCGGATAGGAAGAATTTTGATTCCTTGCTGTGGGCTATCGTCACTGTGTTCCAGGTAAGACCCCAAAGGCTACACCTTCCCACTAAAATATGTGATACACTCAGAGGCTGTTCTTTAGGAGTCAGATGGACAATGAAAGCCACCATAGCTGTTCTTCAGCAGATTTTACTAACAGGGAGGGGAAGTTCTAGAACAAAGCATAAGGAGACAGACAAGATCTCACGGTCCCATCTGTTGCCAGCACCCAGGGGTGGGGAGGAAGGAGGGAAACGGATGGAGCACACATGCATATTCAACTGCCTAACAGGGTCCATGTCACCTAGGAGATCACAGCGCCAGAGGTAAGAAAAGAGTTGTTCCATTGTCTGCAGAGGTCACTTCCTGATTCCTGATTTTCAGCAGAGCCCAGTGACGGAAGCACGCAGCTGTATTTCAGAATGGTTTTTATATGTGTGCACGTAGTGACATACATATAAAAACCATTCTGAAATACAGCTGTGTGCTTCCATCACTGGGCTCTGTTGAAAAGTGACATGGGGACGCGGGGGGGCGCTGTGGGTTAAACCACAGAGCCTAGGACTTGCCGATCAGAAGGTTGGCGGTTCGAATCCCTGCGACGGGGTGAGCTCCCGTTGTTCGGCCCCTGCTCCTGCCAACCTAGCAGTTCGAAAGCACGTCAAAGTGCAAGTAGATAAATAGGTACCGCTCCGGCGGGAAGATAAACAGCGTTTCCATGCGCTGCTCTGGTTTTGCCAGAAGCGGTTTAGTCATGCTGGCCACATGACCCGGAAGCTGTACGCCGGCTCCCTCGGCCAATAAAGCGAGATGAGCGTTGCAACCCCAGAGTCAGCGACGACTGGACCTAATGGTCAGGGGTCCCTTTACCTTTACGTAGTGACATGGAACAACAGCCTAAGAGGGCTCTGTTGCCTTCCCTGCCCTGCTCAGAGACCCCGGCTGACTATAGTCAGAAGCAGTTTGCTGCACCGAGCAGATCTTTTTGGTCCGAACTACCACGGCTGTTGTTCTCATACACTGGTGGGCAAAACAGACCTGCCCTGCTTCATTAGGAGTGACAATGTCTTTCCAAGTACAAGATCTGGGCAGACTTCATGTCACAAATGGCCTTTGGAGGACAAGTAACTTGAAAAAGCTTCTCCGGAACAAGAAAAACAACCGGCTCTGCCCGCCTCAGACCAACCTGTCTCGGTAAACAAGAGACGGCGATTAAATAATTGACTGCCGAGAGAAATTGACATTGGCGTTGTACAGTTCGCGCCATCCATTGCCTCATTTTAATGGAGGTGCTGCCGCTATTGTCACTGCAAATCTTGCGGGTAAATAAATCCGGCAAAGGAGTTGAGCTCTTGCAGCTGAGGTTAATGGGAGCCATGTTGCTAAATCAAGCCAGCATAGCTTCCCTGCTGGGCCAATACCCTGTTGCGGGTCGCTCCAGCTTTGCGGCAGTTCTGAAGACGGTTGTCTTGGCTGAGGCTGGACTAATTGAGGTCAAAGAGTTCTTGTCCTCCACTGATATCCCAAATCAGCGGCTACCAGCCACCATGGCAAATTTCTGCCTCTGACTGGGAATCACAAGCAGAGAGAGTGCTGTTCTGCTCAGCGCCTGCTTGCAAGTTTCCCATTGGAGCATCTAATGGGAGCATCTGAAGGAGTGTCTCCACCCCCATCGTTCTGCCCGGACACTGAGGTCCAGCTCCCAGGGCCTTCTGGCTGTTCCCTCACTGCGAGAAGTGAGGCTACACGGAACCAGGCAGAGGGTCTTCTTGGTGGTGGCGCCTGCCCTGTGGAATGCCCTCCCATCAGATTGCAAGGAAATAAACAACTATCTGACTTTTAGAAGACATCTGAAGGCAGCCCTGTTTAGGAAAGCTTTTAACGTTTGATGTTTTATCGTGTTTTTAATGTTCTATTGGGAGCCGCCCAGAGTGGCCATCTAGTTGGCCCCCATGAGAACAGGATGCTGGACTAGATGAGCCCTTAACCTGATCCAGCAGGCTCTCCTCGTACATACAGTGGTACCTCGGGTTACATACGCTTCAGGTTACAGACTCCGCTAACCCAGAAATAGTACCTCGGGTTAAGAACTTTGCTTCAGGATGAGAACAGAAATCGTGCAGCGGTGGCAGCAGGAGGCCCCATTAGCTAAAGTGGTGCCTCAGGTTAAGAACAGTTTCAGGTTAAAAACGGACCTCCGGTACGAATTAAGTACTTAACCCAAGGTACTACTGTATTGCAAAGGACAGGCAGCAACGGGAATCCCAGCAATGGATCCTTTCAATCAGAAGGATCCCTAGCAGCTTTTTCAGACACTGTGTCTACAATATCCTCCTGGAAACCTGAGTCTCAGTGAGGTCTGGGAATTGCAGTTCCTCATCCCAGAAAGTGACCACCTGCATGCCTTCAGATTAGAGCTGGAGTACTGGAGGGTGGAATTTAGACAGCAATTCTAATCCCCTTCGAGTAAGGAGTAAATTCATCAGGACTTGCTTTTGAGTAGACATGGTTCGGCTTGCCCTGTTCATAGTGAGTTTCTAGGGGTGTTGCCTGGCAATGTTTTGCGAATAGTCATTTTGCAGCCTTCAGTTTTTGAGCTCAGTGTTTCCCTCCCTTTCAGTTCTGAGTTCAGAAATTAAACGTTACCGCCTGCACAGTTGCGAAAGTTTGCTGGGGAGTCCCTCTGGGAATCCATGTAACACATTTTCCCTTCAAGACAAGTTTTGTGAATCTCTTGTGTGGGACTTTTAGGAGTTGGAAACCCAGTTCCCAGTACCCTTTGTTCTACCTCTTTGTTCTTTGGGGGTAGCCACAGAAAAGGCTCTGTCGTGGTAGAAGCCCCCACCTGAGATAAAAGCCTGCTATTCTGGACTGATCTCTCATTCCCTTGGTCTCTCTCTCTCTCCATGTTGTGTGCAGATCCTCACCCAAGAAGACTGGAACGTGGTTCTGTACAACGGGATGGCGTCCACCTCTTCCTGGGCGGCTCTCTATTTCGTGGCTCTGATGACCTTCGGAAACTACGTCCTTTTCAACCTCTTGGTCGCCATCCTAGTGGAGGGTTTCCAGGCCGAGGTAAGGGAAGAGTCGCACTGTCAAGGCTTCAGGGAATCCTATTCCTCTCACAGTAGGGTGCCAGGAAGCAAAAAACCTAGAAGAGTTCTTACCAGGTAGTTTATTCAATATCCACAGTGGCAGGTTGAGAGGAGTTCCCTACCAGGACAGACTTTGCTCGTGTGCTCAAGACATTGATTCTATAAAACATATTTTGCTGCACTGTGCGAAATACGAGCAAGCCAGGGCTGAACTGATATTACCCTTGCTGGTACCTTTCTTGGGAAAATCAGAGGCTCACTATGTCAGGTTCCTATTGGAAGACCGGACAAACACTAGAACATTAGCAGTGGTGAAGTTTTTATCGGTGGTTGCAAGAACCAGTGATCCTTATCTTTTGAACAAAATGCTTGTTTAACCTGGAGGTAGACTGTATTAATTGTGCATTGCTTTGTAACGATTTGTTGGGTCTCTGGACCTTAATAAAGATTCATGATGAATATTCACAGAGAGAGACAAAGGAATGCAGTCTCTCTTAGTTATCGGCAATGCTCCAAGTTAAGTCCCACCCCCTGGGTCCCTCCTATTGTACATCACCCCTGCACCGGCTGATCTGTGCTTTCTGCCTCTGAGTTTTCTGTTCTATTACTCTCAAGGCATGCCTTGTTCTGGGAGAGAGAGGTTCAGGAATGCTTTCAAGAGACACTGAGTCTGTCAGCTGTCTCTCCCCGGTGCTTCTTCTTCCTACTGCTCTCCCAATTTTTCCCAGCTCCTCCCCTCTGCAGCCTCTGAGCTATGACCTTCTGCAAGCCACTGTTCTAAATCTATACTGTCCTCTTCTTGGGAAGGTTCCCACCATCCTTCCTCAGTCCAACCCCTTAAACCCACCAAGCAGGTGACCTGGCTTTTCGCTCAGTGAGCCAACCAAACATTCAGTTCAGATGGCAGTTTTGACCTCTGGCGGTTGTTACAGCCTGGATGTTACCCAACATGTCCAGAATTCCGGGCAACTGTGGAACTCCCTGCCACAAGGTGTGGCAGGAATCGATACAGACGGTTCATTCACCTACGATGGGGATGAGGAGCCTCTGGCCCTCTTGATGTTGCTGCATTAGTGGTTTATTTAATTTATTATTAAATTTCTACTCCACCTCATCGGCACATTTGGTGTTGTCTGCACTGACTGGCAGCAGCTCTCCAGGATTTTTGTTTAATTGTTTTTACTAAAGATTTTCTTGGGTAACAAAATTGCATGCAGCATCTCTGCTTTCGGTTCATAGAGACCTTTCTACAGATCAGTTACATTTGAAGTGAGACCCTAATATTACGGATAGTGCAAGGTTGGGAGAGAAAGAAGGGGGTGTAGTAGACTTTCCATTTTTTACAGTGTTTGTATACCCCAGATGGGCGGGGTATAAATAAATGATGATGATGATGATGATGATAATGATGATGCAAGGTTTTTGTGTCAGCACCATGTGGGTAGGTTCTCTTTCTATTCATTAATTAGTTTTCATTGCCAGTGAGAAAGATTTGGGGGGCCCAGGAATGGCTGGTCACCTTCGGCTGACGGCAGCGAGTTTTGTTTGTGTGTTTTCCCAAGACAATAATGCACACTCACAATGGAAAGAACTCACAAGCCCCCTCCTCTCAGCAGCCAGGAGCAACATAACTAAACACTGGAGGGACCTGTCAGGAGTGAACATGGACCACTGGTACCCAACCGTTTTTCTAGCCTTACTAGAAAAACTAACCAACAAATTGAAACTAGCACAGGACAAACAAAAGAAGGCACCTTCACCCCGGTGTGGCTCCCCCTTATTACATACATTACATAACACCATTCTTGAAAGACCTACATTGGTTCCCAGTACGTTTCCAAGCACAATTCAAATTGTTGGTGCTGACCTTTAAAGCCCTAAATGGCCTCGGTCCAGTATACCTGAAGGAGCATCTCCACTCCCATCATTCAGCCCGGACACCAAGGTCCTTCTCTGAGGGCCTTCTGGCAGTTCCCTCACTGCGAGAAGTGAAGTTACAGGGAACCAGGCAGAGGGCCTTCTCGGTAGTGGCACCTGCCCTGTGGAACGCCCTCCCATCAGATGTCAAAGAAATTAACAACTATCTGACGTTTAGAAGACATCTGAAGGCAGCCCTGTTTAGAGAAGTTTTTAATGACTGGTGTTTTATCGTGTTTTTAATCTTTTGTTGGAAGCTGCCCAGAGTGGCTGGGGAAACCCAGCCAGATGGGCATGGTATAAAAATTATTATTATCATTATCATTATCATTCACAGCCCAACAAAACAACAGCAAAGCCCTCCGACAGCATATGGATCAATATGGCTAATTTGACCTAACAACCCCTTCCCCTCTTACACAACAGCTCTCCAGGATTTGAGATTGGGTTCTCTCCAAGCCCTGTCTGGAGTTGCC